TCTCTCTCTCTCTCTCTCAAAAAAAAAAAAAAGAAAGAAAGACATGGTTAAGGTGCTATACATCCACGGTGGGCTCTGATTTGATCTCTCAATCTTCTGGTTGCCACCCAGAAAAGCAGCTTCTTTCTCAGAAGGTTTTCCCATGGCTGAGGACATCTGCCGCTCACTCCTGCCCTCGGGCGGGGCATCTACAGGGAGGACAAGTCCATGCACTTTAGTCTTGTCAGCAGCCTCAGTGAAGGCGAGGAATCTCTGGTTTCCTAAAAACTGCGGGCTTAATTGGCTTCCGCGCTCAGGTTAAAAGCAGCAGCCGGAGCCCACGCCCCCTCTCCAGCCTGCCTAATTCCCACCTCAGCAGAAGGAGCCCAGTGTCCCACCTCATCGGCTTAGTGCTGCCCAGAGAACTCATTATAACAGCGTGCTGACCAATGGGCTGGGCAGAGAGCTTCTGGGCTGCAGGTGCCAGCAGACTCCCSCTGCAAAGCCCTTCTTCCTCTGTGAGAAGGGATCCTGAGGAAAGGGGCACTCCCTCTGTCCTCAAGAGCAGAGCCTCTGGGAGCTGGGGAAGCGTCTCGCTCTGTGGGCGCATTATCCTTATGTCCTAATGGATTTTCCTGCACAGAGACCCTGGACCCCGTCATGCCAGGCTGACCACTTAACATCTGGTCCGTGCTTCACAGGTCCCTTCCTCACCTCTGTGCCACATGACAGTGTTTGCCTGACTCTCACGTGTTCCTTGGTCTTCGCACCCCTGAGCACAGGTTCCCGAAACCTAGCTGGCAAGCAGCAGAGCCTGGCCTTCAACCTGGGTTGTTTCAGATCCTGCCCCCTTTCCTCTCTTCCTCAGCTCCGTAGGCTTGGAGCCTCCTGAGACATTATCCTCAACCCCTGAATGTCCAAAGCATGATCATTTCATTCCTACGAAGAACCAGCAATTGCAAAAWGTCCCCCAAATCAGCCCGTCCCGTGTGGARGTTGGGCTACCAACTCCAACCAGCCTCCGAGCCAGGCTGCTTCCTCTGCATCACCCAAGAAGCTGCGTGCCTGGTACGGCAGGAAGCCTCTTTCCTCCCAGCACTCATCTCCTCCATCCCCAGGCCTCATTCTTGCCCTCCACTCTGGAGCACACCCTCCCCTTGGGGGTCTTCAGCTTCCACCAGTGCCCCTGCGACTCGACTCTGGTCCCACTCCAAGCTTCAGGTCTGTGTCCACCTCCTGCTCAATGGCTCCCTTGTGTCTCACAGGCACCTCCAATGCTGACCACAGGGCTCCCACCCTGGAACCCCGTACCAAATGGTCCCCCATCTCTTTAGGCAGTAGTGCAGGAGGTGGGCTCCCCTGCCCCTKCCTCTACAGCACCTCTCACCTCATGGAATCAGCCCCACGATGTGGCCCTCGAGTGGGAGCCTCAGCTCTAGTCTGGCCCCTTCYAGCCAGCCTTTGTTGCCACTGCAGGAGACCTTGGACCTGGGGCCCTGCTGCGTGTCCCTCGTGCCTCAGCTCCTGCTGGCCCTTCCACGCCTCCTGGCCCTGTGTGACCTGCTGCTTCTGCCTSTTTCCCTTCGTCCCTTTCCTCCCCGGCTCTCACTTCCACCCTGAGACGGACCTGCCCAGTCCTCAGCCTAGTTCCTGCAGACCACCCACCCGCAGCTCCTGTGGCTCTGGTCATGCCTGCTCGGGTCACCTGTACATGGACTGTCAGCTCCTTTGTCTCCCAGCAGCAGAGTGGGACATGATCACACCTGTCTCCAGGAGCAGGCCTGTGCTCATGTAGTAGGCCTCAAAAGCGTGACAGACAATGACCACAGCTGGCCGTGTTCATGTGTTCCAGTGACCCTGAGAGCTGGAGCTGCTTGTGCACCAGGCAGTTGGCCCASCACTTACCTTTGAGTAGCTCTGCCTTTGGTCAGGGACTTGGACCTCTAGGAGGCTCCTGTTAAAACATGACCGTGAGATGAAATCCAYAAGTATTGTATCGGCGTGCATGACTTTCCCTGTGTTTTATGAGTCCAAGCAAAATCCCCAGAAAAGCTTCAGCAGGCGGGAAGCTGTAAAAACAAGTGGTGTCCAGTGTTGGACATGATCCAGCAGGACCGGGTCTGGGGGTTGGGGGCTGGGGAGGCGGAAGCCGCTATAAGCACAGCAGCCTGTCCAGCAGCTGATAGCCAATGGCGGAGGGCTTCTCCAGAGGCACTCAGGTGCTGCCCTTTTGGAGGTTTGTTGGGCCCAGCCCCTTTCCCTTAGCTCAAGAAGCGTATCCATGCACAATACCTGAGCTGTTCCCAAGGGAAAATGCCTCTCAAGGAGCAGGACTCTCCGTGCGTCCCTCACTGTACTTATGGGAAACGGGCCCAGCCACACTCACACACTTCTTCCTCTGTCTCCTTTCTCCTCCAGTCGTGCCAAGCTGACCTCGTGAAGGACAACGGCCACAAGTACTTCCTTTCCGTCTTGGCTGACCCATACATGCCAGTAAGAACCAACCTCATTTGTCTTTTGGAGGGTCCTGGGAGTTGGGTCCCCTCCCTCCCCCCACATGTGTGTCTGTGCAGCTCTCTAGCGAGGAGCAAGGTGGCTGTGGCCACTTGCTTATGGAGCTTGGGGTGTGGGCAGCTGTGTCCTGAACGTGCCGTGCCCTTCCTGCCCCTGAGAGGACAAGTTGACCTGCATCCCAGGGGGCTTGGTGGGCTCGAGCCAGTCACCCTTTACTGGCAAATCTTTGTCCTCTCCCTAGCACCTATCCACCCAACTGGATGGCCCTGTCGGCACTCTCACATCTATGACAAGGTGACTCAGGTGCCTCGGAAGCCCTGGAGCATGGCAGGATCTCAGGAAGGAGGGAAACAGGAGGAGGAAAGAAGAGATTATTTAAAAGCTTATATTTTAAATATTTTTATTATTAAATTATTCGAAAATTAGATGTTCACGGATATGATATATACTAACTTGTCATAACGTCTTAAGATCAATGTCCTTGTTCCCACCTTCAGCCCTAGCATAGGAATGAGGACAGAATAGACACCCCAGATAATTCCTTAAGGTAATTTTGCCAGAATATTTAAGTATATTATCATTCCAGGTCACTTTGGTTGTGTAAAGGAACTTCTGTATGTAATTTCACCCTCTACTTGTTTTTCTAAACTAAATGATAAAAGAGAAAGAGACACATACAGTACAGAACTGTTGTACAGCAGGTCATTGGTACTTGTGTGCTTCWCTTCAGTGACATATCTAAACTTTCCCACAGGCAGTTTGATATACTTCACATGAGTCCTGGAATAAACCTTCCCGTTACTCAGAGCAAGTAGGAAAACCAATCTAGCAAAGGAGAAAGGGCTAAGGTGCTGTGGACAGGCCGCAGCTCCAGTGCGTGAGAGTGTGAGGGTATAGCCAGGTTTGAAAGAGAAGAAATTGTCAAATGCCAGAACCGAGAGACCCATGGAGCCCTGGTAGGGCCTCCAGGATACCACACTCCACACAGACCCTGCACCTGTGCAAGTCAAGGCCCTGAGCAGACAGCACTGCAGCTGCGCTCACGCCAGGAGCCTGCGAGGCGTGCCCTGTGCCCTCACTAACAAGGACGAGCAGAGCTGCCCTGCTTCTGAGAAGGACTGCTTGTCCATGTCTGGGTAGAAGGAAAAGAAGGACCGCCCTGGGCCTGTTCATGAGGGCCACTCCCGGGTCCCCTGGGGGCTGGAAGATACCAACACCAGGCCTATTGCCCAAGGCCTGGGGACTCTCCCAGAAGCTGGCTTGCCCTCAAGGCCTCCGTCAGGTGCAGCAGGAAGGAGAACTGGCCAGGCCACAGTAGGAGAGCTTCACCCAGGAACGGAGGCTCATGGAGTCCCTGCAGAGACTGAGTCGGCATAAATGAGAGTGGCAAAGGCCCAAGGCAGTTTGGTCTAACTACACCAATGGTAGATCTAGGTGTTGTTTTTTCAAAATAGTTTTATGCCTACATAAGAAAAATGCCCTGTGCTTCGTACCTGTCCTCAAAAATAAATAGGAAGATCTGGGGGAAAGTAAAAAGTGGAACCTATAACAGAAGAACAGACCATGGTTGTCGCTGAGAACTCAGCAGGTGGAGTGGACGGTGGAGGAGAAGCCACGGGGTGTGGTGTGGGCGAGCTAGAGAAGACTGGCCTGGGAGGAGCAAGACCCAGAGGGTGAGACGCAGGCGCCAAGTCCACTGTGGCTCATCTCATTCCAGAGCCAGGGGAGGTGAGGCAGAGGAGAAGCCACAGTCAAGCACACTGTGACTGAGAACTCGCCAGATCGGGGATTTTGGATTTCAGAAGCACAATGAGTCCCCCGAAAGCTCAATGAAAACAAATTCACCAAGACACACTTTAATCCAAGTAGCAATTGTCAGAGGCATGGAGGAAAGTTCTGGAAGCGGCCAGCCCCCACCCCCCACCCCTGGGAAGGCCACCTGCAGGGCCAGCCCCTAGGTGGTGAGGTGACACTTCCCACTTCTAACTCCCAGAAGGCACCAGCAGGCCCATGAGAGCCCAGAGGGAAGAGCAGGCCGCGGCAGCAGAGGCAGTGGTAGACCTGCTGGCAGAATGTCAGTTGCCACCAGGTAGAGGGAGAGATGCAGAGTGCGGGATTCAAGGCACTGGGCCGCAACAAGCAGAGGTGCAGCTCACACAAGACTGCCAGCGAGTGCACGTCCCAAGGCACCATGCAGAAGATGAGCACAGGCAGAGAGGGGAATGGAGGCTGAGCATCCCATAGGAAGCCAGAGGGGGATAAAGTCAAGTTAGGATGTTCTCTGCTGGCCTTCCCTGGCCCCGCTCATGGCCCTAACAGGTCAAGGGTGCAGTCTGCCCACCCAGGCGAGCCCAAAGCTGCTCTTGCCCTCTGGGTCTTGCTCGTCCCAAGTCAGAAAACAGTACCAAGGTGGCCCTCATTCTCAGCCATGCCTCGGCCACCCTGAGGATGTGCAAGGTGGTGCTGCTATGCTAGGGAACCAGGAGCCACCCTGGGGGAATGTACACCAAGGCTGGCTTTGTTTTCCAGGCTGAACACAGGACCATGACAGCTTTCATTCTTGCTGTGATCGTCAACAGCTATGCCACAGGGCAGGTGAGTGTCCCGGTGGCTGCAGTCCCCCTGAGCCCTCCCCTGGCATTGCAGAGGAGGCTGTTTCACCCCACATGTCACAGAGCTGACGTTCAGTCAGGCTGCCATGTTGGCAGAGGGCACTGTGCTTCTGGCAGTCAGCCTCAGAAAGTGGGCCAGCAGGGCACACCAGCCAGGGCTGCTGGTGCACGGTCAGCAGAGGCCCGGCCCTTCATTTAGCTCACCATTGTGGGGGCGGATTGAATCCATGGGGTTTAAAATGAGGAAAGCGGAGCAATCCTGTATTGTGACTGAGCAAGTGTTCCCCAAGAAACGGCAGCTGCTGCCATCCAGGCCCAGAGTCTGAAGGCAGAGGATCACCTGTCTATGTTGTCCTGCCCTGTCCAGGAAGCCTGCCTTCAGGGGAACCTGATTGCCATCTGCCTGGAACAGCTCAGTGACCCCCACCCACTCCTGCGCCAGTGGGTGGCCATATGCCTGGGGCGGATCTGGCAGAACTTCGACTCAGCAAGATGGTGTGGGGTGAGGGACAGTGCCCACGAGAAGCTCTACAGCCTCCTTTCTGACCCTATCCCTGAGGTGAGTTGCCCTCCTGTGGGTTGCTCTAAGCCAGACCTGGGTGTTGGGGTGCCTCCTGCCCATGTTCCTACTATTGTCTATGGAAAGATCATGTTGGAACAATTCAGAGGCTTGCCCAGGCTTGAGCGTGGCCTTGTGTCCCAAGACTCCAGGGCCACGTGGAAATCACACAAGCGGGACCCTGGGACCTYGGTGCAGTCATGCACTGACAACCTTTCTGAGGTCGAAGGGGCAGGCCAGGCTCTGCACTGTAGCACCTTGTGGGGCCAGGCCAGGCTTCAGCTGCAGCAGCCTGAGGCCAGCACCCACCCCCAGCCCCTGCTCCCAGGCAAAGGCATTATGCACATCAGCCACACAGCCCTTGGCTGGCCTTGGGGGTGGAGGCAGACTGTCCAGGACCCCACCTGCCTCCTCATCCTGTGGATCAGCTTGAATGGAGCCCATGAAGCTCCCAGACCCCCCCAGTGGACTGAGACCTAGCACCTATGCTGRCTCCAGCTGCCCTCAGGGTAGGTCTCTGGGGGATAGAGCTTGGTGCAGGAAGCCTGCTACCAGCAGTGCCCTCACTGCCCTTGGGGGCAGGACGAGTTCTCCAAGCCTCTCAAAGGGAGGTGTCCTCAGGAATAAATCCTCGGGGAAATATCTTTAATTTACTTTCCAATTTGTTCTCAAAGAAACAAGGTGACATAATACTAGAAGTGTGGAGATCCGAGGAGGAGCTGGAGGGAGCAGACGCTGGGCATGATGTCCCCTCAAAGACTAGGCCAGAAGAGAAGCAGGACCCAGGCAAGCTTGCCATAGGTGGCCAGGGTGTTGGTCTGAGTGCCCTTGCAGCCAGGARGACAGCCTCCCCAGGCCTATGGTCCCTGTGGTAACTGAGGGCTGGTGGTCAGAGGCCAATCAGTGGTCTCAGCCTGAGGCCAATGGGATGTCCTGGCTGGTTCTCATGTGTGGTATGGGGCCCTGGGCAGAGTCCTGGGCTTTCCAGAGCTACTGCCCACAGGCCAGCCTCCTCATGTCCACTACACATGGACTCAAACCAGATGGAAAACCAATGTTATTCCCCCAGACCATGTAATCCCTGGGACAGTGCCTATAAATGTGAACAGTGCCCCTGAGATATGAAGACCAAATGTGGCTCTAAAGTATCAGAGCCCATTTAGAAAGGATTTGTGAAACCTACCAGGCCCAGAGGGCAGGGCAGGGGCCACCAAGTACTGTCTGTGGAACAGGGCTGGCAGGGCTCGCTTAGGCCAGATGGCGCTTTCATTCAGAACAAAGCTTCCATTTCTTCAGGTCACACCACAGCAAGGATGTGGTACATGCAGTTGCTGGTTGGTGCCCTCCTGCCCCAGGAAGTAGACCCTGATGCATTGTGGCCAGCTGCAGGGAGAGGTGGGCCCTGATGACACAGGTGGCTAGGGAAGGGTAGCAGAGTCCCTGATGGCAGGATAGTGAGTAGGAGCTTTGGAGCAGGGACCTTCTGGGTGGTGGAACACAGGACCTGACCTGCTTTCTCCTGCTGCGTGGCCATCTGCTTATCATGATGCTGGTCACCTGGGCTGCCTGTCTTGAGCACTCTGCCCTCACGTCTTGAGTACTTAAGGATGGCCTCCTACTGAGAGCACGGGTGTGTGTTGGCTGACAATGTTGGGGCAGATCCTGGTGCACCTCATGATCTGCATGTGGAGGGTACTCCGCAGAGGTGCAACCATCTGCCCAGCTCACTAAGACCTGCCGGCTGCTGGTGCTGCCCAGTCCCCCTTGTCACACGGTGGCAATATCCCCTRTGTGACCTCAGGGCTCACTCTGGAGGCTATTTGTTGGACTTTGATGGGGACAGGGGACTCTACAATGTTTGTCAAAGATTATTACTGCATAGTTGTCAATAATTCAGGGTCTAAACTGAAACTGCCACTGTTCCAGGTTTGCGTGGAGGGCACTGTCCTCTTGGCTCGCTGAAGGGTTCTGAGTGGYGGCCCTCTGTGCACTTCACACCTCAGTGGGACTTGAGCTAAGTCTCTTGGAGAGAGCAGTGGCACCTGTCCCAAAGACACCAGCCCTTGTTTCAGGGATGCTCTGTGCCCATCCATCTGGGTCTCAGGTCTCCCTATGRCTTTGGAGAGCCCTAACATCATCTCTCACCTCCTGTGTTACCAGAGAGCAGAATCTGCCTTTTGGAGGAACAGAGCCTCTTGGTGAGACATCTTATGGGTGGGCAGTTTGCCTAGAGAGGAAACTTGAATAGCAGCGGGAGGGCCTGGCTGTCCATGTGAGAGGGCAAGCACTACACCAGACGCTCGACCACCTGCTTGGACCCAGATCCTACCTTGGCTGCCGACAGAGGTGGCCCCTCTCCTTCCCAGGGAGCTCTGCACCAGCGTGCCCGCCCAGGAGCATGGGCTGCTGTGTGCGCCGCGTGTGTGCAGCTGACGGCAGGCAGCTTCTTCAGTGTGCTATGAAGGCCTGCAGCTGCTCAGCACCCTCCCTGCCCACCGAGGGCTGCACAAGCAGCCTTTGAGCACGCCCAGGCTGCCGCAGCRCCTTCCCTGTCTCTGGTGATGGCACCAATCTTTTCCCTTAATTTCCACATATTATTTTTGATTAGGTTTTGTATGATTAGGAAAAACACAAGAAGTATATAAATCTGCATCTGAAATATCCAGAATTGGTTTTTATTGGTGATGCTGGTCTTTGTCTTAGGCAGGAGTCCTGATCCCCCAGTCCTCCCGTGCTATGGTCCTGTTGGGCACAGAGCCACTATGGGACGGAAGGAGAGTGAGGTGGGGGCTCAGGAGCACGGCCCCAGACCTGCAGTGCACCCCATCTGCAGATTGGGAAATGCCTCCTCAGGACCTGGAGACCTCAGTTTGTGCTGTGGAGCTCTGAGTGGCAGGGGCTCACAGCTCAGGGGTTGAGACCCACTGGACCTTCCCATTCTACCTACTGTGACTCCAAATGCATCCAGAGCATTTTCCAGGATCCCCCACACAGAMTACTCATGCCCACAGAAGTCTTACCAACTTTTATTGAAATTCTGGAATTTTTCAAGTTATTTCCTTGAATCTTCCTGCCACTCCTGTTAGAGATGAGGAAATGGGCAGCATGAGGTTGGCTTCTTCCCCAGGATCACGAGACATTGGAGGCAGGAAAGCTGAGCCAAGACCCTTGGACACCATGCCAGCCCAGGGTACTCCCCTCATTACCTCTGGACCCCCAAGGACTCAGCCTACCCCGGCCTCCATTCCACTGTGTTTTCAGAGCGGTCTCCCATACTACCCCTTCCCTCTAAGCCCAGTCCAGCCCCTTCCCCAATACACCTGTCTTGTTCAACCACAGATTCCACACTGCCCAGGGTCTCTTTCAACTCCAGAGGAAATGCAGCTCCCACCTCTGCAACCTGCTCCTTGTGCGTGAAGCTGGGGCCCTGATGACCCTCTTTGGTTCCCCTGGACTTCCCCATCTCTGCTCCATCAATACGAGTGTAGCTCTGGCTTAGAGTACTGTTCAATGAGCACRTGTGAAATTGAGTTGAGCTGAGCTTATCTGAACTGGATTGGATTGACGTGCAGGCTTCTCCCGGCAGATAGCAAACGCCAGCCRTGGCATAACTATGACCCCATCCCTTGCCTTGTAGGTCCGATGTGCAGCTGTCTTCGCCCTTGGCACATTTGTGGGCAACTCTGCTGAGAGGACAGACCACTCCACCACCATTGACCACAACGTGGCCATGATGCTTGCCCAGCTGATTAATGACGGGAGCCCCATGGTCCGGAAGGTATGTGAGGTGGGGTGTGTTCCGCAGGTCACCGGGAGAGTCTGACAGGGATTTGGGTAGTTGGTGCAAGTGGCCAGTGCGGGATGGTGGCAGTGTCTATGAATGWCTTGGCAGAACCTGATCCCAGCTCAAAATAGTGGTGGAGAGGATTCATTTTGTAAACAAATCCTGATTTGTTTCCTCACATCTTTTCAGATCTCTGAGCACTCATGTTGTAGCCTTAAACTGTCTTAAAAGATATGGATTGTGTCCATCTCCTTGGACTAAGGCATTTGGCCTGAGTCACTTTAACTCCCGGACTCTCCTCATTCCCTCTTAGGGGCTGAGGCTGACATAGCTATGAATGTTCTAGAGGACGCACTGCAGCTTGGCAGCATAGCCTGCTTCGGTTTGGCTCACCAGATCTTGGGGTCGAATAGAGCAGCCCTTTCCTCCCAGGGTGGCAGGACTGATACCTTGCCCACTCTGGAGTTGTGCACCCACATGGTGGCCCCAGGAAGTCCCACATTGCTCCCACCTAGCTTCCACAGGCTAAGTCTGGCAGGCACACAGTGTTCTTTGGAGGCCCTTCGTGCCTCAATGGCCATCTGCTTGCTCATGGCTTGTGCCCGTGCCGGTGTCTGATGCCAACTATAGTCCTGCTCTACTCTGTTCTCTTGCAACTCAGTGCAGGTGTTAGTTCACAGGCCTGTGATCCAGTGGATTTCCAGCTCCTGTGAGCCTAACTGTCCCTTCTCCCTCTCGACAGGAGCTGGTGGTGGCTCTGAGTCATCTTGTGGTGCAGTATGAGAGCAATTTCTGCACCGTAGCCCTGCAGTTTATGGAGGAGGAAAAGAACTACCCCTTGCCGTCTCCAGCAGCCACAGGTACAGCTGGTGACCCTGGCCTTCKCCACAACATCAGCCATCACTTAGTTGGGCCAGATCTGAGTTGAGGTTTCTGATACTGGCTGTGGATGGCCCCCAGGTTTTCCATTGTCTTGGGCATTTAGCCAAATATAAAGAACAGAAAAAGGGGCCACACTCTGAACCTCTTACTCTTTTCCTTCCTTCATTACCCTTTTTGGAAACCAATTTCATGGAAATCTTGAAGGATGGCAAAACTGTGGCACAGGGGCTTGCAGAGAAGAGCATTAGCATCTTCCTGTGGTGACTAATGCAGCCGCATTGCCGTTGGTCGAGTTTCAGTGAGTCAGGCGGAAGCAGCCTCTGCTCGCTGGAGCACAATGGTTTTTGACGCTGGTGTTTCATCCTGGTGGACTGCCTCTTCCTCCAGGTCACAGTGGAAGGGGCTCTGACCCCCCAGCAAAGTATTCCTCTCTGTCCATCAGGGAGGATGAAGAATGAGCTGCTGGACCAAAGCAGCCAGTGACATGGAGGGAGGCACCCCCAGCAGACCAGCGCAATGGAGCTCAGCCCTGCTGGCACTCCTAGGCAGGGTCCATGGCCCGCACCCCTGAGCACCTCGTGGGGACAAGCTCACTCTCAGACTGTGCACTGTCTGTCCAGCTGGGTCCCAGGCTCATGTCAGATCTACTGAGATAAAAAGCCCTTCTTCTGTATTCCTTCTGCCCCAGTGGCAGCTACTGGCTTCTTGCTGCACCTGCAGACTTGGCGGGGGGGGGGGCGGTGTGCAGGGTATGCGGCCTCCTGCCACAAAGCCTGTCACTATCTTTCTTTCTTTCTTTCCTAGAGGGGGGTAGTTTGACCCCAGTGCGAGACAGTCCGTGTACCCCGAGGCTGCGCTCTGTGAGCTCCTATGGAAACATCCGGGCTGTCACCACGGCCAGGAGCCTGAACAAATCTTTGCAGAATCTGAGCTTGACGGAAGAATGTAAGATCCTGGAACTCTGTGTGGGTGGGAAAGGTTCAGGGTGTTACTTTAGGAAACTTTTATCTAAGCAAGTACCACTCTGCCTCAGCCCTTCTCTGCCAAGACATGCACCCCAACTTCCTGTCTGGGTGCGACCTGCCAGCTCTCTAGGGAATCTCCTTCTAGTCACAGGTGCAGGAAGGCTATTATAGTTGAGCACACAGAACAGCCAAGGGCACTTCACAGACTTGCAGGGAGCAGCAGTCAAGGCTTGGGTGCCGTGACTCCCGTCCCCGGGAGACCATGAGGGTGTGTGCATGCATTGTGCCTGTGTGTGTTAAGCCTTGTGTTGTAGAAGAAAAGCCCACCTCAGCAGGCTGTTAATTGTCAGAGCAGAGGGCAGGCCCTGGCACCACCCTGACCTGCCCCATGTGTCCCGGCCAGCGGGCAGCTCGGTGGCCTTCTCCCCTGGGAACCTCAGCACCAGCAGCAGCGCCAGCAGCACACTGGGCAGCCCTGAGAACGAGGAGTACATCCTGTCCTTTGAGACCATCGACAAGATGCGCCGCGTGAGCTCCTATTCTGCCCTCAACTCCCTCATAGGTAAGCCACCCCACTCTGCCCTCCTCCCTCAACCCACGGGCCGGCCCACTCCCCAGAACAGCACAGGCCTTGGTCCAGGTCAGGCAAGTGGGCCAAGACTATCACAGTTGAACAAGAAAGAATCAAAGTTGACTGAACCACGAGGAGGTAAAAACAATCTGCCCCAGGACACAGGGAAGCTGGGGTCACTTTGTTTTGATAGGACGATGTTCTATGGGCCAGTCCAGGGATAGGGGAGCCATTCAGCTCTATGGTGTAGGAGGGCTGTCATCACTGCCTCTCTGTCTGTCTGCACTGGATGGACCTGTCCTGTTGGTTTCCAGCTATGTGTTCTTGCACCCTGGGAGACTGGCTGTTTGTCACAAGTGGGTGACTGGGGTGCCGGTGTCAAGGGGGTGGAGGCCAGGGGCACTGGCCGACTCGCCACAGCACCCAGGCCAGCTGCACCCAGTGAGGTGAGAGCCTGCTACAGGAGGCAGAGGGCGTTGCTCCTGGGAAAACCCTCGGGCCACCTGCAGAGCCTCCCCTGGTTCCAGGTTCTGCTACCTGCTCGCTGGTGTCGGTGGAAATAGGAAATTGCCGTGTTTTCCTTTTCATGACTGTTCTTGAGATTGCTGGCAACAGATGTAGCCCTGACCCAGCAGCCTCCTCCTCTCCCGTTCTGACCTCCAGCTGGTCTCAGTCTTCAMAGGGTGTCTTTAATGTGTAGAAACACGTTGTATGTACCACAGTGACGGGGACCAGCATGTGGAACCTGCGTGTGCTGTGTCCCCACTTGGGCATCATGGAGGGAGCCTGAGCCCTGCCAACCTGCTGTCCCTGAACCCCTGGCAGACACAGCCGCCCTGGAGGCCTCTGATGCCACAGCCGCCCGGCGGCTCGGGGCCTTGCAGGCTGCCTGGTGTTGGTATTGACCTCGGCACCCTCTCTGCCGTCTGCTCACGTCACACCCACAGAGTCCGATCCTTGCTCTGCTGTTGGGTGTGCGACACTAGGCGAGTTGTGGCTGCCTCTTTTTCTATAAGCAAACAGGACTAGCCCCCTACCCCCTGGTTACTGGGGTGCTGTCCCCACTCCCTGTTCCCCATCATACCTGCCTCCGCGGGCTCCAGGCCCTCCTGCCCATGCCCAGTTCCTCAGGGTTCTGACCAAATGGCCTCTCCATAGATGCCTTCCCTGCCCACACCCAAGGAACGCATGTCTGATTCCCTGTCCCTCAGCCCACCRCCAGGCGTGCCCTCTGTCTCCACATTTGGTCTGCTGGGCCTCCCAGCCCTCCTCATGYCGTGCTGGCACAGGGCGGGTGTCCAGCCCGAGGTGGTGTGCGCACACCGGCGCCTCTTGTAGGCCCCTGAGTGGAAGGGCAGTGTGAGGGGTGGTGGCTCATTTGTTCAGGGCACCCAGCTCCGTTGCTTCAGTGCCAGCGCTCGTGGTCCTAAGGGGCTGTCTGGCTGAGAGCAGGAGCTGATGGGAGGTGGCCTCGGCTCCTGTGCACTCGCTGCCCTTGTCAGTCTGTCAGAGTCCGTTACTAACCCTGCGCGCAGCTGGTGCCCCACTAGAAGTCTGTCCCCTGGCCTTGTGTGGGTGCCGCTCAGCCGAGGCCTGGGTGTGTCTTCCTCAGGATTTCGCCTGCGTCTCCGGCGCTCCCCGTGTCTCCTCGTGTCTCGGACACAGACTGGGAGCTTTCCTTTTCCACGGTGCATCTTCAGCAGCTCCTACATCGAGCGCTCTCTCTGTGAGACTCAGTCCGGCTGCTTCCCACGGTGACACCTGTTGTCCCTCTCCACCTCCTCTTCCTTCCTCCACTGACGCTCGTGTCACCTGTGCCTGGCCTTCCCACTGTGACTAAGGGAGATCCCTCAGCCAGTGGGAGCCCTGGCACCGCGCTGCTGTTGGGCCTCCAGCCTTTGGCACTCTAGCCTGGCACTGTGGGGCGGCCTGTTCCAGCTGTCCTCACGTGCCCCTCCCCCTGTCATTCCTGTAGCTGGGTTCGCTTTTCTCCCTTTTTTCATTAGTCTTACAATGACATTTGTTAATTTTTTAGTGTCTTCAAGTTCTAACTTTGCTTTGTTGATTTTCTTTGTGATTACGTCTTCACTTTGTGTTCCTCTAATTTATCTTTATTCCTTCCTTTGTGTGTGTGTGTGTGTGTGTGTGTGTGCGCGCGCGCGCGCGCGTGTGCGTGCTTGCACACTTCTGGGGATTGAACCCAGGGGCTTTTCCACTAAGCCACATCCCCAGCCCTTTTTATTTTTTATTTTGAGAAAAGGTCTCCCTACGTTGCTTGCTTAAGTTGATGAGCCTGCCCTTGAATTTGCAGTCCTCCTGCCTCGGCCTCCTGAGTCTCGGGGATTACAGGTGTGCACTACTGTGTRCAGCTTATTTCTTCCTATTTCCTTAGGTTTACTCTCTTGTTCTTTTTCATTTCTGAAGTGAAAATAAAAATGGCTCATTAACTCTGAGTCTTCCTTCCTTCCTAATGAAGAGTGTGAACTTGCGAGCCCCTGTAGGGCCTCTGATCTCCACCCCTTCCACTGACAGGCAGGGTTCTCACTCTTCAGCTCTGGGTTACTTTCCGGTTTCCATTATGATGCTTTGAGAGTTGAACTCCTCCCCCAGCACATGGTAGTGTGAGATATCTGGCTCCTGGCTGGGCCGAGCTGGAGAGAAGGCAGCCCGGCCACACCTGAGGCCTCAGGACTGACCCCACCACCTCGCAAGGCTCAGGGGACCTGCTTGGTCCTGCCTATAAGGGCAGTCTGTCTGGTGGTTCTGTAGGGCTCTGACCAGCTGCTCCCCAGAGGACCAGCGTGCACAGGTCTGGCGGCCATGCCCTCCAGGGTGTGAGACCTGAAGGAGGTGCTCCGCTCACCACACCAACTCACAGGGCCAGTCCCTTTGTCAAGCAGCACTGAGGGCCTGGGCCTTTGATGGTTTGCTGACACGCCCTGAGCACACACTGTGCTGCTGGATCACCCCAGGAGACAGTTCTCTGTCACCTGTGAGATGTCCCTTTGAACTGGAATGCACCTTTAACGCAACCATGGTGCAGTGGTAGATGCCCAGGGCGTCTAGCTGGTGGCGCAGGCCACGGGCGAGTGCTCCCTAGCTCCAGGGTCTGGAGGTGGTTCCTCGGCAAGCAGGAGAGCCCAGCCCACGCCTGCCTGGGCCTGGGCTCTGGCCCTGATGCACTAACTTGTCCTGTACACCGTCTCTGTGGTGTTGGGTCAGGGATCTTTTCTTTGAGGAACACAGACTGAGAGGAAAGCATAGGCATCAGGGTCTCGGGCCCTTGCCTCCTTACTTGTTCCTCTCGAGGATCACCTGTCCCGCCTCCCCATGCTCCTGACACCCTTCTGTGGGAGTGGAGTAGCTCGGTGGACAGAGAGTGGAGAGGGCCTGCATCCAGCAACGAGGGCCCAGCTGTGCTGCACCCTCTGGACCCCACATGACAGTGGCTACAGTGCACGTGGTCCCTGCACCACGTTCCTCTCCATGCCCAGGCCAGAGTGCCAGCCCCAGGAGCATGTCCCTGTATGCATTCCATCCCCACTTGTCCACTGGCCATTCAGGGCTTGATGGAGAGGGGCACGGTGGCCTGCTACCAGCCACAGGAGTCTTGTCCCAGAGGCACTGCCTAGGGTGGAGCTAGAGGCCAGGGTCAGGTCTTCCTTGCTGAGCAGTGGCATTTTGTACCAAGCTAGAAATGCGTTCCTATATAACAAATCCAAGGTGGAGCTGATGCTGGTGGAGGGGWGGGTGCAGAGGGACCACAGCAGCAGCCTGGAGCCAGCCTGGCCACCATCCTCTAGCCCCTGGTCCTCAAGACCCTGTTGTCACTCCTTCGCCAGGAGGAGGAGCCTCCTGGAGTCACAGTCGGAGTCAGACCATAGCCCAAGCCTAGGAGATGGCCTGAAAGCCAAGTCCCGAGCCCTCTGCCCGGCTCAGAATCCCAAGACAGAATAACTCCTGGAGAAGAGCCCAGACACCACCCTCAGCCCCAGGCCTCCTCTGCTGTTCCTGCCCTGTGGCCTGACATGACCACCTCCAAGCCATCTCTGTCCCTTCCCTTCTTCCCCTTGGCTGGGAGGGTCCTTGGCAGCCTGCATGCAGCTCTAGGCCTCACAGCACGATACCTGCCAGGCCTGGTCTGGCTAGAGCGTCATCTTGCCTTCTCCTCCACGGACAGGCCCTGCACTCAGCTACAAGGAAGCAAAGCAGCAGAGCACAGCAACCCAGGGATCCCACCCTTCTGGCTGGAAAAGGGTGATGAGACCTTGGATGGCTCTGGCCCCCCTGCTCAAGATAGACTGCTTTTAAAGCCAAAGCCCCCAACCCAAACCCTCTTGTTGTTGCTGAGAGCACACACAGGCACACTGGGGCGTGGCTGGTGAGGTGGTGCAGGCTGTGGGGCTCTGTCCTTGCTGGGAGCAGCTGAGGCCACAGCTGGCAGAGGGAGAAGGGAGGGCAGCATAGCGTTGACCTGGCTCTCGGGAAGCTGCTTCTGGTCGTGGCTCAGCCTCTGAGGAGTCAGGCAATCCCAGAGAGCCCCTTGGGGCACCAGGGACAGGAAAGGGACAGCATAGAACCACCTCGGCTTGGGAACTGGTTTCTAAAGAGAGGTGGAAGGCTCTTGGCCAYCCACAGCCCCAGATTCAATGTTGAACCTGGGTCCTTGAGACCCAGGTGAGGGCTTGTCCCCACTTGTCCTGTCCATGCTGCAGTGCAGGGCAGGGCTCCGAGGCTCAGGCTTGGCCTCAGAGCTCTGAGTAGGTCTCCCTACATCATATGCTTTTCAGAAAGTTGGGGCCCTTGCTCTGAAAAATAAATCCTGGAAACGTTTGTCACAGTCTTCTATTACTTCTGGTCTAGATGTGAAAATAGGTTCTCTTCACCTGGCAGGAGCCCGGCACATGGCCGGGGTCTGCCGGCAGGCCTCAGGTGTCCCTGCTTTGGGTTCACATAGTGGCCTCTATCTCAGCGGGCAGGTGGCTGTACTCTGTTTTAGAGACAGCAGATTTTAAATTGGAGCAATCCATAGAACAGGGAACCTAAGAGAATCATTATCCTGGCCAAGCAGAGAAATGAAGGTAAATAATCAGACCAATTCCTTCTCACAGTTTTGTTTTTACTAGTAAATAATTATACTATCCATTATAGTCAAAGAAACTAGCAAAAATTAGATTTTTTTTATTCCCTGTTGAGTCATGAACAGTGTTACATCAAAGTCAAAGTCTGCCAGAAAGTCAAGACAGTAATAAAGACAAGTTGCTAAAAAATAAATGATAATAATGGCTAATAGGCATCACCCTCCCTCTCTCTCCCTGTGGTGCTGGCCCCTCCTGCTGGGGCCCAGCTGGCCACCTTCCCCTGGGGATCCACATCTGTCMCCTCCACCTAGCACATGAGGCCTGGGTGGAGCTGGGACCCCACACCCCTGCCAGCGGCACCTGTTCAGTTAAGGAGCTGGCTCGGCATCTGCTGAGGGATGAGCAGCCTGCGTCCTCACGTGCCCACTCCCCTCCCTGCCCGCCTCGTGTCGCTCCCCTCATCCCACCCCCTGTTCTGTGACGAAGGTCTGTCATCTGAGTCAAGCTGGGATTTACTGTCAGCACCACGGTCTCTTCACAGCTCAGTGTCACACGGCAACTGAGCTTCACAGGAAGCCACTTCCGATGCGTCACTCGGCCAGAGGACGCCTGTGAGACTGAAAATAATAGAGGGGACAGGGTGTTGGATGGGGGCTGTGGTGAGCGAGAGGCACCTTTGCGAGGACTTCCTGTGGCTTGGTGGAGGCCCAGCTCCTCTCGGGCTGGCCACCTGCTTCCTGACTGCAGCTGCGTGCAGAGCCACACAGCGCCCTTCTCTCCTCCGCCTGCATCACAAATCAGGGGCCTGTCTCGAGAGTGACTTTGGAGCACCTTCCTCCTGCCTGCCTTCTCTTGAAAAGACAAAATGCAGGCACTTCCTGGGGGTCCCCCAGGGCCCAGAGCATGGTCCTTACAAACAGGCCATCTGCTGGGGCAGGGATGTGGGCTCCGTTTGAGAAAGTGTTCCCACAGAGATTCTGGATGATTTTACCAAACATTCTCCTTAGGGCTGGCTGTGATCTAGACAGCTGTTGGGAGCTGTGGAATTGGGGTTGGAGGTTCTGTTCTGAGTTAAAGCTGGGTAGAAGGAGAGCAGGGTTGAACGGGCCGGGGTTTCCCTGGGGTCCTCCACACCTCTGTAGGCCTCCTCAAGCTGGACTGGGCTGTGTCTCGTTTCTCAGAAGTTCGGGTCTCCTGCAGCCAAGCCTCCTGGCTCCTCCCAGGCACGGGGCTCTGTGAGCAGGGCCAGCACAGAGGCCTGGGGCTGCTGGCCACATGAGTGCAAGTGAGCACAGGTCGCAGTCACTGCCAGGCAGTGTCACCAGATGGTGGCCTTCCTTGGGTCTGGGCCTCCAGGGCAGGGACAGAGCTTACCCCCACTCAGAATGGTGAGGAAGCAGGGGCTTTGGTAAGCTCTCGTGGGGTTGTRCCCTCCCAGTCTCCTCTGCAGGCGAGGGTGATGGAGGTGAAGTGCTGCCCACCCTGTGTCCATAAATGAGAGGGCGGGGGCCGGTGAGCGGCCGACACAGCACACACCCCGAGGAGCCCCTGAGCAGGGCTGGCTCTGGCCACCTCAGCCTCCTTCYGGTCTGGGCTTCAGTGTGTCTCACAAAGCCCGTCCCACTGACCACGTGCTCACTGAGCCACTCTCTCGACAGGAGGCCTGGTCTCAGCTCCTTGGTCAACCCAGGGGCTCACTAGAGCTGTCTGGGGAAGGGTCACAGGATCACTGCTTATTTGAAATTCTCCTCAAATCCCTTTTTGTTRTTGAATAGAACATGTGCTTTTCAGCAAATTGTCCAGCTTCTCCCAAAGTAAAAAAGAATGCAGTTATGTGTGGCTTTCTCCCTGCCCCGAAGCCCCTGGGAGCATGTCGTCTCTGGCTCCCCCATGGGAAGCCAGCACCCATCTGCCACAGCACGAGCCTGGGCACTGCAGGGCTGCTCTGCCCTTCCCCACCAGCCACATCCCACGGCAGCCTTTGCTCAGACCACACCCCTTCAGGCTCCCCTCTGCCTCTCCCATCTGCTGTGGTGTGGCCCTGCTCCCCGCAGCCTCCACCCTGGGGGCTGACCTCACCTGGGAGCCCTGAGCAGTGTGTCTTCATCTGACGYGCCTGGGCCCCAGTGGCTCCTGTGTCACCTGAGTCTGCACCTGGGCTGCAACACAAGGCCTTGTGCTGTGGGCGTCTGGCACCCTCTTGGTCAGTGCTGGCCATTAGGCCGGGAGACGTTGGAGCAGAGTCATATCACATACACCTCTCATGTTCTCCAGGAGCTCGGTGCAGCGCCATGTGTGGGGTGACCAGCGGAGCCCACACACCATGCCAGGGCCACAGCAGCTCCTGGCATCTGGGACTGGAGCTCAGACGCCTCCTGGGGACCAGCGGTCCTCTGTGGTCTGCAGGGGCATCCCAGATGCAARTCTGCCCTTCCTATCCCAGCTTTCATTTGGGGAAGACCTAGGCTCAGAAGATGAGAGTGGGTGAGGGGTCTGTTGACCGCTGGGATTCTTGACTCCCTGGCCCAAGACCAGAGAACTCACTGGGGAGCTTCCCTAACCCTCACTCTTGGTACCACGGAAATGTCCAGAAAACAGTGCCTCAGACACCAGCAATGCGTGTGCAGGAGCTGTTTCCACTAAGACGTCTCCTGTTTCTTTTCTAGGAGTTTCTTTTAACAGTGTTTACACTCAGATTTGGAGAGTCCTATTGCACCTGGCTGCTGACCCCTACCCAGAGGTGTCTGATCTGGCCATGAAAGTGCTCAACAGCATCGCCTACAAGGTACGTGCGCTGGGTCGCTCACTGCCGCACGCGGAGCTCATTTCCCGTCATGGGAGTTCAAGCAGGAATCTCCAGGCAGGTTGAGGACCCCCCTCAGTCTAAAAACACACCACCCAGGCCGGGCGCAGTGGTGCACGCCTGTAATCCCAGCAGCTCSGGAGGCTGAGGCAGGAGGATCACAAGTCCAAAGCCAGCCTCAGCAAAGGTGAGGCACTAAGCAGCTCAGTGAAACCCTGTCTCTAAATAAAATATAAAATAAGGCTGGGGTGTGGCTCAGTGGTCCAGTGCCCCTGAGCTCAATCCCTGAGACAAAAAAAAAAAAACACCTGCAAAATGCGTCAACCTGGATCATGGGATGCCCGACCTGTCTGCACGTGGCTGAGTCATGAGGCCCTCACTGCTTCCCACACTCCTCACATCTGTGTGCTCCGTGGTGACGTCCCTGCCGTGTTCCTCACGTCCCTGTGGCGACTGCCCCGCTCCTGGCTCTTGTGGCGAAGGACACTTCAGAGACCTGGCTCGGCTGGCTTGGCTGGCTCCTGTTGTCCTCCGTTTTCAGTTTTGTGGCTGGCAGCTCCCCACTCTCCCTCCCTCTGCTCCCTGAATTTCRTCTGCTCCTCTTCTCGTGCTCGAGGGAGAGCACAGGGCATGGGTTGATAGTTCTCTCTTCTGGGAGTATAGACAGTCCCCGGTTCTTTTGTGAGTCCTGGGAATTTGGCCTGATGCCTTCTAGTTTCTTGTTGCTCTTTCTTTCTTTTCCCCTGTACTGAGGATGGAACCCAGGGCCTCATGGCAAGTGGGCAGTCCCTCCACACTGGGCCGCACCCTCAGCCCTATTTATTTTTTACAATAGAAGGCATTTGGACCTAAAGCACGACTTCTCGTTCCTCCGGCTGTCCATGGTGCGGTCACTCCAGTAGTGTAATCACACATGTATGTAGGGTGATAATGTCTGTCTCTTTCTACCGTCCTGCCCATCCCCACAGCCCTCTCCTCCCCTCACTGCCCTCTACACAAACCAAAGTTCTTTCATTCTTCCCCCACCACCCTCCTGCCGCCCCACTATGGATCAGCATCTGCTTATCAGAGAGAACATTCAACTTTTGGTTTGGGGAATTGGCTGATTTCACTTAGCATCTATCCTTTTTCCTGCAAATGCCATCATTTCATTCTTCTTTAAGACTGAGTAATATTCTGTTGTGTACATGTACCACATTTTCTTTATCCATTCATCTGTTGAAGGGCATCTAGGTTGGTTCCGTAGTTTAACTATTGAATTGAGCTGCTATAAACATTGATTTGCCTCCATCACTGTAGTATGCAGATTTTAAGTCCTTTGGGTATAAGCCAAGGAACAGGATAGCTAGGTCAATAGTTTCATTCCAAGTTTTCTGAGGTATCTCCATATAGTTTTCCATAGTGGTTGCGCCAATTTGCAGTCCCATCGGCAGTGTATGAGTGTGCCTGTTTCCCCACATCCTCACCAACACTTATTATTGCTTCTATTCTTGATAATTCCCATTCTGACTGGAGTGAGATGAAATCTTAGAGTAGTCTTGATTTTCATTTCTCTAATTGCTAGAGATCATGGGTATTTTTTCATGCTTGTTGATCAATTATATTTCTTCTTCTGTGAAGTGTCTGTTTAGTTCCTTAGCCCATTTACTGATTGGGTTATTTGTGGGGGTTTTTTTTGGTATTAAGTTTTTTGAGTATTTTATATATCCCAGAGATTAGTGCTGCATCGCTCTCAGCCCTTTTAACTTTATTTTGAGACAGGGTCTCACTGAGTTGCTGAGGCTGGCCTTGAACTTGAATTCTTCCTCCTCAGCCTGCTGAGTAGCTGGGACTGTGGACCTGTGCCTTTTACCCCGCCTCCTGGTGTTCTTTGCCCAGCCTCAGGAGGCTGCCCCACCTATGAGCAGAAGAGTATCGAAAGCTCAGGGCCTTCCCTTAAGACCCTGGAAACTCCCCTCCCTGTTCTCTACCCAGCTATTCCCAGCGCCCACGCCTCCCTGGAGCTCAGCTCTGTGTCCTCTCTCCCCAGAGTGCTGGGCTCACCTGGGTTTCTCTCCTCTACACTGCAGCTGGGGACTGGCTGGCAGCGGCTTGTAGGGCATACGCCGGGACCTCAGACCCAAGGTACCCAACACCTAGCATCTAAAAACAGTCTTTCTGGTACTCTAGTTGCTTATTGAACAACTACACTCTTACCTGGCAGCTTTGCTTTTATGAATGCAGTTAGAGGTTATTGACTTTAGCATTTAAAATGTTTTTGCAACTTTTTGATAATTTCAAGCTTACAGAAGAATTGCAAGAAGAGTACAGGGAAAGGTCACCAGGTCTTACAGCTTGATGGCACCCACTCCAGACCAGGTGCCGGTCCCTGCCTCTGGCCCCAGCACAGCAAGGACCGTCCTTAGGTGCTGCTTGTGAGGCCCAGGAGGACCAGGACCGTGGCTTTCAGCCCACCTGCTTGTTTCTTCCCAGCATGTCCTCCAGCCCTGCCCAGCGCCCAGCACCTGCTGGACTCCAGTTCCTGCAACTGCCCCTGCGCTGGAAGCCTGCTGCCCGGCCTCCCTCCACACCACAGCTGCTCCTGTTGCTTGAGCTCTGTCTTTCTGACAGCGGCTGTGGCTGTCCTTCAGGGGGTAGTGACAGAGCCCCGTGGCTCCCCAGTGTTCCAATGCAGTAGTCTCCAGTCCCATTTTCTCTAAAGCCACAGCAAGAACAATGAAGAAGTAAATCCTGGTCCTGGGCTCAAAAGATGTGCTCACATTTGGCACCCTAACCCTAGAAGCATCCACTCACTGGTGCAACGAGTCTTCATTCCCTTCCTCCCCAGAACTTCTCCTAGTGTCACAGCATCAGGCACCACCCTCCCAGCTGGGGAGAGCCTGCATTGTTCACTCTAGCACTCTGACCCCCTCGCTCAGTCCCTTGCCACTGGGTGACCAGCTGCAGCGGCCTGCGAGACGAGGGCATTGGCGCTGTGCTCATCACTGCCTGTGGAAAATGGCTAATCAAGTTAACATTTTCATTGTTAGTAGAAAACTACTGGGTTCATTCCCCCGCAAGAAAGAAAGAAAAAGAACCAATACATGCTCCAATCATCTGATTTCTCAACTGAGAATAGGATTGCTTCAAGTAGAAAACTGTTTAAAAATGTATGTTTCATATTATGGTCTGAGACGGAGGGAGGGGAGAAAGGAAATAGGCAGGAAGAGAGGAGGAAAGGAACTTGAGGGAAGGCTGCAGGGCCCTGTGCCCAGCACCCCACCCCGTCAGCCRCAGGTCCTGGGCCCAGAGCAGCGGAAGCTTTGGCAGGCTGGGGCAGCGTGTCATGGAAGGCCTGTCCTACCACTTATCCATTCTGCCAGCCTCTGACTCAGGCTCCACCAGTAGTGCCAGAGCTCAACAGTGGGTTTGAGACATTGTTTTCACCAGGAGTGGAGGCTGAGGCCGGAGAATCACTAGTTCAAGGCCGCCTGCACAACTTATCAGGTCTTATCTCAAAATTTTAGAAGTTGAAAAATAAAACGGGCTGGGGGTGTAGCTTAGTGGTAGAGCACTTGCCTAGAATGTGTGCGCCCCTGGGTTTTATTCACAGAAATGGAAAAGAAGGGGGGGGGATCGTTTTCACTTGAATCATTTTAAAAGCTTTGTATGGATGTTAATGAATGCTGTAAATTTAGAATTTGTGTTCAGAGAGCACAGGCTGACTGGCCCCCTCCTTGCCATAGCCTCTGGCACGCACAGGTGTCCACGCCCTCTCTACTGTTCCTGGAGGCACAGCATGGCCTGCTGGCCAGGGCCCCCCTTGCACTTCCTGGCAGCCCAGCTGCAGGCCTGGGCTTGTCACTTTGTCCCAGCTACTGTGGCTTCTTGAGTATTTTAGTCATGGAGACTCAGGACTCAGCCTGTGTGTTTTCCAGTGGCCTTATGTATTTGCCCTGGCTAAAGCTGCCTGGATCATGTCGCACTGCAATCCTGGAGCCTGGTGTTAAGCCCGCTGCTGTGACCCGACCTCTGGGAGCTGGGTGCTGCCCAGGAGCTGTCCTCCCTGCACTGCAGGAGAGGCCAGGAGAGGCGCAGCACCGCCACCCACCCCGGGGCCCTTTGGATTGTGTGCTCAGGCTGCAGCTCGGAGCCAGGAGGGCCCAAGCCCCCAGGTCAAGGAGACTCAGCCTCCTAGTTGTCACCTTGCATGTCGGCAAGCTGCAGCCCCCTGAGGAAATCACCTGACGTGTCCTGACTGAGTCCTGGAGTCCCCAGCAAAGTGGCATTTGGCCTCTCTGCCTGCTTGGCTGGCCTCAGGTGGCACACACCCAGCGTGCACGTGGCCGCCTCCCTGAAGGCACACCACAACCCGAGCAAGATGGCCCCGCTGGAGACCYTGCAGTAGCACAGCGCCACCTGTGTCTGTGCGAGCACTGCACGTGCGTGGGTTTCCGAGTAGACACGGCTTCTGGAAGACTGGGAAGCATAAGTATTAAGGGAATTTTTCTTGTTCTCATTTTAATTTCAAGAGGTGCCTTACCTTCCGTTGCAGGAACTGAAGGGATTATATTTCATTTTTACAGAGAAATGAGCCTATTTTAGATGAATTCTGAGGCCAAATTTTGTTCATCAGAAAGCGCCTTATTACTGTGGGATGCCCCTTAGAATTCTTCATTCAAATGCAGGCCTCAAGCTGGCCTGTGTCAAAGAGCCCCCTCCCCAGCTACAGCCTGCTGTCAGGTTTGCAAACCCTCTTCCGTGGCCCGAGGCTTGCATTTTGCTTTAGTGTTTATTACAGAAACCTGAAACCCTGCAGAAGTAGAAAGAGGAGAACAAAGACCGCAAGGAACCGGCTGTGGCTATGGCCCCAGAAACCCCTGGCATCATATGCCTGTATGGAATGTKGGCAGACCAGGTGTGTCAGAAACCAGGGGCTCATGTCCCTAACCCAGGCAAAATGTCCAAGTGGGAGGGAGACCAAGGCCTGAACCACCAGTGAGATAAAGACTGAGAAACTCAGGAAAGGTACTGAGAGGCACTGCCAAGCCTGCTGGGTCACAGCACGGCTGCTCACCAAGAAGTTCCTTTTAAATGGTGTTGTGTGGAATTTCCCTGCAGAAGCCCCCCGGAAAGACCTTCTAAACTAAGATGCTAGGTGGGCCATGCCTGGGACCAGCTCCATGGTTCTTGGGTGGCAGCCCAGGGACCTTTCTCCCTGAGACTCTGCTATGTGCTCAGGGCAGCCACACAAGAACAAGCACAGAGGAGAGGCTCTGGTGTTAGACCAGGACGCAAGAAAAGACCACTGACTCCAATTAAAATCAAATTAAAGCAAGCTTATTATTTCGACCGGCCGGGCTGCCTYTCCCTCCCAAAACGGCGGGAACAAGACAGCCACCCCACCTTTCCTACAGCCCAGCTTTATAGCCCAGAAAGTTACACAAAAGGGGGGTTACAGATAACAGAACTCTGACAAGCATCACACTAATGGTAGTTTACTTTTTTTTTTTTTTTTTTTTTTTTTGCTGGCCCCAACATCAGAATTTATGAGGACCATTAGAGCCTCAGAGAGGGTCGTTGTCTGGCCAGGGAAGGCCAATATTTATGAGGCGTCACAACAGTTTCAGAGAGGGCTGCTATCTGGTCAGAGAGCCAAGCATGGGTGAGTTCAAGGCAGGGCAGGCATTCCAAGCAGGTTCAGAATTTGCAGTAATTTATAGAAAGCCGAAATTATCTTTTCATGGCTTTGTGGCGAGATGGCTCCCAATTTTAAGAAAAGACCAGGTTGGGTCTGTCATTGGGAGCAGCAGCCAGCCTGGGGTCAGCATGAGCATAGCCAGGATTCTCCTGGCTCTGACCTCTGCCAGCTCCTCCCACCTCCCCCACCTCCCAGTGTTCAGGCTGTGAGGCTGGTCTTGTCCCTGGGCTGACCCTTTGGGGACATGCATGAGCATGAGCATTAGTGGTAGCACAGCCCCAGGAGGAGCACCCTGCCTCTCCACCTGCGAGGTCCACAAGGGAGGGAGCGAGCCAGCAGGGTGAAACTCCATGGCCTCAGCCACACAGGGTCCTAGGTTCTTGGGTGGCAGCCCAGGGACCCTCAGGGTCCCTTCCTGCAGTGTTCAGGATCTAGGGCACTGAGCTTTGAGTGTAGCGAACACACAGTTAATGTCATACCCAGGACTTACATTTCCAAAAGAGAAGTCTCAAGTAGTTATTCCGGAAACAGTCTGCAGGAGAACCTGTGGAGGCAGAAGCGCTGTGTCCGCGGTCTCTCCTCAGCAGTGGAGCAACAGCAGGTCTGGCTCTCGCTCAGCCTGGGGGGCTTCCAAGCCCTGCGGCAGGCTCCTGTTGAGAGTCCCTCACACATGAATGCAGAACTCTGATGTGGAATCAGTAGGAACATTTCTGGAGCCCACACCCTCCCCACATAGAGCAGCGGTGTTTTCACTGGAGTCCGAGCCTGACCGTGCAGATCCAGAAGGGGGAGTCCCTCTTGTGCCACTGAGATTTCTCCCGGGGCTGTTTCTCTGCCGTGTGCCCAACTTCTGTGTCCTGTGACGGTCTGCTTAGAGAACCGCTAGAGCTGTGATGCTGGAGGCTAGAGGTAGAAGTGGGCTTCACTGCTCCTGGGGCAGGCCCCAGCGTTGCCCGGGGGGATGCATCTCCATCCTGCAGCGTCTCTGCCTGAAACCGASCTTTAACAAAGTCACGCTGCCTCTGTAAAGCAGGCTGGGCACCATGCCCTCACCTCTCACTGCTGCATGCTATGCAGGGCTCAGACCCACTGCCACAAGGGAATGTAGCTCCGGTCTTCCCAGAGGGTGCATCTGTGTGCCAGGTGACAATGACAGCAGAGCCATCAGGAAGGGCTCACACAGGGCACTGGGTCTTATATGCCGTGCTGTCCGTCCTCTACCAAGAACTTGCCCAGCAAGAGGCCCGCCCCATGACAGGACATGCAGGAAACCTCCCACTGTCCCCTACTTCTGGCATCCTCTGTCCTCACAGTGGTCACCTCCCAGGAGTATCCACTCACACTCACTATGTGACCTGTACCCAGCCACGTAACCAGTGCCAAACGTGGACACACTGGGGTGAGAGCAGAAGAGAGCTCCATCCGAGCATGAAGCCTGCTCACCTAGGCCCTGGGAGCCTCCCTCCCCATTCAGGTCCACCTGTCAGAATCAGAAAATGATTCAAAATGGGGGCCTCACAGCAGCAACCCAGGTGTGAGCAGCATCGTGCCTTCTGCAGGCTGCACTCGGCAGAGCTGAGGGCCACGGGCTCCCACAGAGGCTCCCCAGGAGCTGCCAGGAACAGAGGCAGAGAGGCACCTGGGCTGCAAGTCATGGTTCTGAAGTCCCCTGCAGCCCGCCCACAGTCGAGTTCCCCTGCTCTGGGCTCGAAAGAGGGCTGGGGATTTGTGGAGGTCTGCTGTCAACCTCTGAAGCTTCGTCACCCCATTACCTCCCACTGTTTCTCCAGAAATTTTCAGAAGACACATATCACACATATGATTTAATTTTACATTTCTTTTCTCATTTTTAACTTACGAAATCATGGCTGTCAGGTTTTGCAGGGTGTGTGTGCCACAGAATTGACTGAATGATTTAAATACAAAAACAAAACAAATTCACGAAGAACACACATTACTCTTAAATCAAAACATGAGAAACAGCCTTCAAGAGCCAGTCTTGGCTCCTTTTTCCTGCTGGTTCCATCATTTATTTATTTATTTATATATATACACACACACACACACACACACACATACATACATATACACACACACACACACACACACACATTTGTACCTAGATTGAACTCAGGGGCACTCGTTCACTGAGCCATATCCCCAGCCCTATTCTGTATTTTTTTGAGAGACAGGGTCTCACTGAGTTGCTTGGCACTTCACTTTTGCTGAGGCTGGCTTTGATCCTCCTGCCTCAGCCTCCCTAGCTGCTGGGATTACAGGTGTGGCCATGAGCCCAGCAAAGCYGATGGTTTACTGGGAAATGTCGATGCTGTTTAAATAAAGACCATTATGGTTGTTTTGACTTATGTCTACTGGCGGAACTAGGAACAGCATTCCTRATGGCAAGTCGAGTTTTTCAGAGACCTGAGGCCAGGAGGGCCCCCAGAACAAAGTCCTCGCAGTGGGGGCTCTTGTCTTCTGGCCTGACGTGTGCCCAACCTCCAGAGGCAGCCTGGCATAGCTGGCTCTCAGCGGGAATCCTGATGAGGGTCAGTGGGCCCGTCCTCCTGACAAGACACCAGCCGCCCTGGGTGGGCAGCAAGGTGGCTGCACCCAAGTGCCTTTGCCACCTGGTTCCCAGCAAATGGTGGGTTCCATACCTGCACAAGGTCCACTGAGAATCGAACAGGACCACCGCCCCAGATGCCACATCCCAGCTGGCGCAAAGCTTCCTGTGTTGGAATTAAGCCCAGCAAATGTTTTTGGAAGGACACTTGCGGAACCTATGACCTTCTCTTCATCCATAGAGCTGCATTTGAAAAGCTATTTTGGGTAGCCCCTGAACATGGGAATGACAGGCTGTGGTGACATTCTCTCCTTGAGTGCAGATGACCACAGGGACGTCACTTGGGACTCGGGGTTGTGCCGAGCTGCCCTCCCAGGCCCTGGACGAGGGAGATCTTAAGGAGGTTGTACGGTCACAGCCCGGTAGCAGGCCAGGGCAGGAGACCCCATTTGCCCCTGGAGGCAGAAGAGTGCCGCAGGCCTTACACCCTCCCGGCCCCCACCATCTTCTGGGCCCTGAGCACAGGAGGCACCGGCAGTCACACAGCAGCTGTGCTCGTGGGGCTGCCCTGGTGGTGGCCACCCCAGAGCCCACCTGGGCAGCACATACTGATGAGGTGCTCCCTGACTCTCATGGCCCTGCCTGGCCCTGAAAGCCCCACAGCTCCTGCACAAGGGCTGGTGGATTCTAGGGAGGAGGCGGAGGTGGCCGTGTACGGTCCTGAAGGTGCCCCACGGTCTGCCTCAAGAACGTCATACAGACCACTCCCCGGCCCTGCCCCGACCCCCCAGGCGGAGCCCACCATTTCTAGATGAGCACCAGCTTTTCTTGGTCCAGGGCATTGTTCTTGGGGGCTGATGGGGGCCTTCTGTTGGGGTTTCAGATTTCCTTAGCCAAAAGCCTTTTCCACCATCGTGAAGCAACACACACACAGCCACCAACCTCGTGCGCCTGTGGCATCAGAGGCTGTTGCCTTTCGACCCCCACATTACACGTCCTCTCTTTCAGGCCACAGTGAATGCCCGGCCCCAGCGCATCCTGGACACCTCCTCTCTGACCCAGTCGGCACCGGCCAGCCCCACCAACAAGGGCATGCACATCCACCAGGTCGGGTAAGTGGCCTGGGGCCAGCTTCTGTGCCAGCTGAGGGTCCAGCGCCCTGCCACTGCCAAGCCCCCCTCTCTCTCGCCCCCTCGCTGCCCTGTGTTCTGCCTCCCCTCCCCTCCCTGCYCCCGGGCTCCTCCCTTCCTCCATCTCCCCCATGCCCCACATCTGTCTCACTTGAGCCCTTCTTAGAAGTGGCCCTGCCTCAGGAGCCTTGTTCTGCACATAGTAGGACTTGAGAGAGGAACTCAGCCTGATTTATTGGCCTTTGGGATCTCACCAGGGACCTAGTTCCCCACGTGGGTGGCGGCAGAGTGGCTCTGCCCTGCCACACCAGAGCAGTGTTCACACCCAGAGGCAGCGGGGGTCCTGACTGCCCCAGCGCAAGCAGCCTCAGGCTCCTCCCAGCAGGCCTGCTCCGGGCTCAGTCACCATCCTCTCTGCTGTGCGTGTCCAGCAAGTGCCTGCTCCAGCAGCTGCCCAAAGACGGCAGTCGCCATGTTAGCAGCATCTGTGGCAGGGAGTCTTGTCGCCGAGTGGTGGCCCTCCGTAAAGCTCACCGTCGGCTTTTCTCCCAATGCAGAGGCTCCCCACCAGCATCCAGCACCAGCAGCTGCAGCCTGACCAACGATGTGGCCAAGCAACCAGTCAGCCGGGACTTGCCTTCAGGCCGCCCGGGCACCACGGGCCCCCCAGGGACGCAGTACACCCCTSACTCCCACCAGTTCCCCCGGACACGGAAGATGTTTGACAGGGGTCCAGATCAGGTGAGAAGGCTGCGCCTCCTGTAGCTCTGACCTCAAGCACCGAGCATCCTGACCGGGTGGAGGGCTTGGCCTCTGGTGGGCAGGGCAGRGCGAGGCCTCGGGTTTGGGTCCTGGCATTCTCGCTGTGCGCCCCTCTGYCCTCAGCCTGGTCCCCCATCTTGTCCCCGAGTCCTGGCGACCCCACGGTACAGCACTAGCCGTGAGCTGACCTGTCGTTCCCTTTGTTGGGTGAGCAGCGACGCCTCCTCTCGGGTGGCAGCTGCTCTGGTGTGGTGCTGGGGGCTGTCTGCTTCCCATGAACCTCCAGTTACTCCACACACAGCACCCTGCTCCTCTTTCCTC